GAGACCAAGGAGTTCCTGCGTTATTTACACACCAGAGATAATATGATGTATGTGGTATAAAACCGTATGAAACCAGGGACCGCTTTTCTCCCGTTGCTGAGGGGGAGGTGGACTAACATGTTGGGGTGCTATCTGGAGAAAATGACCTCCGGTCCACCCTGCCTTTAAGTGTGTATATGCGGGGTCAGCCCTATGTTCCCACAGCCCTATGTTCCCACATTTCTAAGAATCTTCTCAAAATTAGGCCCTATGTTCCCACAGGGTAGGGTTAGGGTTAGTTACCCTAACCTAAATGATACAAATTCATGAAAAAGGAAATGTGGGAACATAGGGCCTAATTTTGGAAAAAAATCTTAGAAATGTGGGAACATAGGGCTGTGGGAACATAGGCACGCTCCCGTATGCAATGTAACATGCCTTTGAAAAATTGAACACAAATCTGAATTCCAAAGAAGAAAAACCTCTCAGAGAAAGTTGTCTGTGATACGATTTCAGCATCGGGGATAATTTCTCTGACAGCTCTGGAGAGGTGAATACGGTGAGACGTCCTCCCTGATCTTTTGCAGCCGGTACCTGCAGAGACTTAATGAACTGTGACGCCAGCTGTCAGCGTGTGGCTGTCAGGCTGCAGACGGGGGGAATAGATGTGATGTCGAGGTACATACCCTGATTTTACTGTAGATGCTTTTTCTTTCCTGGAGGCCGGAGGGCTGTGAGGAAGGTGCGGGAGGTTATGCTGGATCGGGCTGACAACACAGAAACCCATTTAATCGGGTAAAAAAATCCACGGAGTCACCGGTCAGACAGATTAAAGGGAGGGAGGAGAGCGTGTACTGTAATTGGAAAAATGTATTTTTCTCTGTCAGTCTCTCTGTGATGTTTTCCCACCCTATGTTTCTTTTTCATGGACAGCTCAAGTTCAGACGAGGTCAGAGCCAATAACTGGATAACAGATCAAGATATTTCCCTGCGAGGGGTTTGACCACTACATGTTAATCTACACAAAACACAGACGTAGAGATTACATTGTCAGACTTACTTGCGAGTTTTGCAATCTTGAATTTGAGATTTGGACGCTTACGTAGCTTCAGGCTAGGCGAAGCTCTGTTTGAAGTTTCAAGGTGTCAGTTGTTCAGCTCTCTTTGAGTGCATGTGAGGTTTAAACCAGACTGTAAATATGAATGTTTGAAGCCTGAGTGACGTCACCCGTCTGTTCCTGCAGGGGGCGCTGGAGTCCCATCGATGGCGGTCTCCATGCTGGAAATGCTGTCTCAGCCTAACTTTCAGTCGACCTAACGACAGGCTGAGAGCTGGAGCTGAGGCGGGTTTTCAGCCCCTTGACAAACCATTGCACCGCACCCGCCTGTCAATCAGGTCAGCTACACGCCTTATTGTGAATAACTCTTATCCTTCATCATATCAAAACTGATGAGTCATCAAAACATTCACCCCCCCGTACAGTGTGTGTCGATTGAGACATGAGCTAATCAGACCTATTTGGTTTTTGGCTGTAAACATGTTAATCTCTGCTGTAAAAACAGACTTTTTAGAATGGGTGTGTATGTGACTTCATGTACTTCTGCAGCCAGCCTCTAGTGGACACTCGAGGAACTGCAGGATTTTACACTTCCACACTAACTTCATTTTTCAAGACATCTTAGGTCCTTCTTCACTGATGATTCATAGTCGATCTGGCAACTTATTATCTTCAGACAAACATATAAAACATTCAGATCTGTGAATATGTATTATTCATAAAAAGGTTGTAGAGTTGTGAAAATCACAGGAGAGGCCATGAGATGGATTAAAAATATGGGAGAAACCTGGTCAAATCTGTAGAGTGTGCAGGTTTGAGCCACACAGGTTTACATGCAAGCCTTTTATGCTTCGCTGCTCAAGATTGAAAGACCCGGAGATACGCCATCAACTGTGCAGCAAACATGAAACGATGTTACGAGGTACTTTTAAAGCGTGAATCACATTCTGGAGAGGCCTTTTCATTCTGCGCTGAAAACATCTGATAGCTGCTAAAATACTTCCCATCACCTTCATGGTGTTCAGGAGCAGTCAAGAGTCCTTCCCTTTAGAGCGATTCAATACACGGGATATGTGGAAGGAAGCGTCTATCCGCTTCTACTTTAAGAACACGTTTGAGAAACGCCATCCTCCGTCGCCGTCGTGTCGCACCTGACCACGCTCAAGTGTAAACACCGCGAGCCAAGCGCGCCACTGAAAGGACTGTCACTGTGAGAAGTGATCGGGGCTTATTGACAGGAGGAGTGAAGGAATGACTTAAACGGAGGCTTATTTCCATCAGCTCTCATTCATCAGCAGCCGACGCGTGGAGGGAAACATTTGGGGGAAAAAAAGCCTGACCTCTCTGCGACAACGACCGGGGGTTTGTTGGAATCTGATAATTATGTTGCAGCTAATCGTTCGCCATTATCCAGCCTGGGTTAAATCTGTGACAGCAACAAACACCTTCGTCTCTCAGTCACCTCTGCACCTCGTTACACACACACCTACACACACACACACGATGATCTAATAGACCGCTGGGAGGATAATTGCATAAACTAATCAATAGCTCCTCATTAGGAGAACTATTTCAGCTAAAAGGTCAGTGTCACCTCCCACACAGTCCTTCCACTGTAAATTTTCAGATGGAAACAATCCTTTCCTCTAAACACCAAACAGGTCATGCATTCACAGGAGGGGGTCAGCCCAATGTTCCCACAGCCCAAGAGGATGTTACGTCAGAAGCTTGGTGGATGATCTGGAAAAAGCTCTGTCATGGTGCGCTCATGTGAAGGAGCTGACCCGTACCAAGCAGGGTCAGTTCACCTTGGAGGAGCTCACAGCCCACAGCCCTATGTTCCCACATTTCTAAGATTTTTAGGGTTAGGGTAAGGGTTAGGGTTAATTGGGTGTAATTGGCTACCAAATTGGGAGAAAGGGGGATCAAATCTGATAAATGTGGGAACTGTGGGAACATAGGGCCTAATTTTGAAATAAATCTTTTTTTGGGAACATAGGCACGCTCCCTACAGGAGAACATTGCACAGTGAAGCTCGCTAACAACTTAGAATTGGTGGCGATGCGGCTCTGATGGCTGCGTGCTTTGTTGCTGCTGCGAGCAGTTCACATTTTGGATGTGCACAAACAACATCCAGATCGTAAGAAACCCATGAAGAGTTCAGATACAGTGATTGAAAATATTTTAGAAAATATCTCAGCTGGTTTATTTTCCCTGAAATTAGTTTCTTACGGTGAAGGGTCCACTGACCCAGAAATGACGCAAACACAATAGTTTGTTTTACCTGCAGCTGCACAGGAACACTTGGTGGTTTCTGAAGAAAAATACAAATCTTTACTTGTTTATTCCCTTCATATTAGTTTAGGGTCAGCTCATGAAGAAATGACAGTGTGTCCGGTTCTACATCAGTATGTTAGATTCCTGCTGTGACAGCATAGTTATGGGGGGGAGGATGAAATACTCAGGGCCGTGTGAAGATCTTTGGTCAGGTCTTTGTAATTTGAGTAGCCTAGTAGTTTAATCAGACTCGACCTGTGCCTTAGAATGATTTAGTTCTCAAATCCACTGATTTGCATCGGGCACTCATTAACCCCGCAGATCTGACTCCCAACAGGACTGTGAACCTGGAGGCTGTTTACTCTCTGTAGGGGTTCCTTCACTCCAGGATTGTTTATTATCTCTTATGTAAGAGCCTGCAGGGAGTCTATTAGTCAACACTGCATCCACATCCACATCCAGCGTCGTAAACAAACCCAGAGATAGATCTGTGCAGACGGCGAATTCTTCTTTTTTACTGGGTTTTATAAAAGTGATGATTATATTTGACGTATCAGAAAAAAGTCCCGTCAAAGGATTTCATTGGACCGTCTCTGAAACCAGGTCAAGAGATCTTTGAACTTGAGTCAATTTCGCTGAGATAAATGTCTACTGGTGACGTGCTCCTGGGGTAAAAAGGCAGCGTTTAGCGCCTCTGATAATACAGCCTAAAGATGCTGCCTGCATACGCAGACACCTTCTTACTAATTTAAAGCTTTTAATAATTAGTAAGATATTTAATGAGACATCAGGTTACTCTTACTTTCATTAATACAAAGAATGTATGCAGCAAGGTGTCCGAACATTCGCATGCTGATGGTACTGATGCAACGGACATGTAGCTGCAGGAGCTGGGGATCGAACCCACAACCGACTCTACCCACTGATCCACAGCCGCCCAAATAATAAGGAGTTGAGCTTCTGAATGAGCCCAGGTGAAGTTGTTTGGTTGTTATGTTTTAAATAAACATCTCCAAAAATCATGTAAATGAATATTTGAAATAATAACTCCATGTGTGTAACTACATCCATAAGAGTGTAAAACTCACCTTGTCAAAGATAGTAGTTTGCCGTCTTCCTCACATCATGCTGCTCCGTCAAACTGGAATGGGCTCACTGCTGCCCCCTGTGGATTAAGACGATGCATTTCAAATGGCACCTGTTGGAAGTCCCCTGTTGTATTGGGTGTCACACTCGATACACTCGGCTACACTCCTCTGAGATCGACTGATCAAACACATTGAATTGATTCTGATCTTTTCCTGCAGCTCCCACTGAGACAGGACGCTTTTCTTTTTTTCCCCTGTGTCCCTTTAGGATATTCTTTTGGCAATTCCTGGATGCACATCATAAAAAAAAAAATCTTTGTTCCTTGGCTGATGGCTGATCTTTCCACCCTTGTACCGTTTTTTTAAGACTTCCTGACAGATGAAAAAGTGCGCCTGAAAACACAGCATCCTCGGAGGAGATAATGCAATCCAATGTAACACCAGGAACGCTCAGAAAAACTGACCACAGAGTCAAAGTCTCTGCAGCATCGGTACACAACAATCTTCAGACATCTTGAGTGCGTCTGTGTTTGCATGCACCCTTGATGTATCACCTGTGCATGTGGAGTGTTTCAACATATTCACCAGTGAGACGCTTGCATCATATTCTCATTTTATTCCTAGTATAAGAGACATACAATGGTATTTCTGTGAGACCAAATTCATAGTAATTCAAAAGACGAAAGCCTGGAAATCAAACAGAAAATAAAAATAAAAACATAATACTGAATCAATGAGACCCCGCCCAGATAGAATGTATTTACACCAAATCAAATACTGATCGAGCCGACAGAGGCGAGACCGCTGCACTCCAATACAATCTGTCACCGGCAGATAAAAAAAAACAACAACACAGGTCTGCTCCGACGCTGTAGCTGCCACACTTCCTCTTATGAAACATTACGGTCACAACCTTTCATCAAGTCGGATAATTTATGTTTGGAGCTCAAAAGCTATTTAACGCTCTGCTGCTTGTTAAAAATCCAAATCAACTTTCCCTTGATCGAACGTTACGGTCGGCCCTGTTTTCATTTATTTACGAGAGTTGGAGTTTGAGTAGCAAACTTCATAAGGGGTCAGCTGAGCTCTGGGGAATTTCAATCAATTTAAAACACCACTTTCTGATACAGTAAATAGTGTAGAGCTGTTGTCTTTACAGAATTGATCGCGGCTGCGGCTGACTCGACTGAACGGTGCGAGAAAGTCTCAGCGCTGATGTTTCCAAGGCGGAGGCCGACTGCACGGCGTCACCATCCCTGAGGGAAATACCTCAGCAGATGTTTGGCAGCGATGGGAGCCCCGATTCCACGATTGGATCAATCCAAGAAGAAAATCTCAGCTCATCGGAAGTCAGAGGTCATTGCACTTCTTAATGTCTCAACACACTCCCTTCACTCTTGTCGCTTCCTATTTGGTTCGACACCTGGTGACACAGGTACGTTAAACTCTACAGCGTAACCTTTGTAGAAGTCCGACTCATAGACTGCATGTTAAAGAAGTGGACAAAGACCACATGAGCCCACCCAGTGGTTTGGAGACAAATATTTTGAAGTCTCCGGTTTGGTATTGGGGGCCTTGGCTTCATCCTGTTCAACAGGAGGAGGCTGAGGCACACTGTCCATTTGTTTATACAGTCTATACGCTCTAACCTGGTTGACAGGTTGCCTTGGTAACAACTGGTCAATCCCAGTCTAATCATACCCCGCTTAATCGTCTTTTTTTTTTTTTTTCTCAATATAAGACTACAGGTTAGAAACTGAATATCAAGTAGAGTTAGAAACACTCGACACTAATAAGACCCTTAATTCATCATGAAAATGTTTACTTTGGTAATTAATTAACTCAAAAGTTGGGTCATTTTCTCTTTGTTCCCATACAAGAAGTATTATATCTGTGCAACTAGTGCAGTCGTCCCCTGCTGGACATTGAAAATGAAATATTTAAGCCCAGCTATGTAACATGAGACTTCGTCTACTTCTAATGTACAGCCTATGGTTGGTGGTCCATGTCTTCATTCTGCTGACTTATATATAAAAGTAAAACAAAATGGTGGAAAGAAAATCTGATATGACATTTAGCTGATTATTCATACTCCATGGACTTCTACAAAGGCTACAAGTCTGTAGGTCATAACGTGTGAGGAACTGCAAGCTGCTCCTTAAGGAAGCCAAGCTGAAGCTACAGCGAAAAAAATAAAAACTAAGAGTAAATATTGGCACCTATAGGGAAAGTGACACCCAGTGGAAAGTGACGTAAAACTGGAGGCATCAAACCCGAACGTCTGCAGTCTCAGGCTGTACGTACTTGCGCTATCAAACACAATCTGTAGGCTCACACGTTTGGGAAAAAGAAAAACAGAGAAGAAGAAATGAAGGGTTTCATTCCAAAAACACTGGATCCATCCTGAAAAAACTAAATATATATTTCGTGTTTAATCTTTTTTTTTTTTTAAATGGCATATTGTACAAAAAAAAACGAAAAAGGCTCAATATAGTCAAAGATATAACTCAAAGTATGATTCATTAGTGAGTGTTACAATCATAACTGCAGTTCTCAAAATGACAAATATCTCATTCTGGAATGAAACTCTTCAGATGTACAGTAAGATACCGTATGACACACGGACGACCATAAAAAATGAAACACCTACAATATACTGTAGCTTAGTCGCCACCTGAGCCCCTTGCATTTACCCCTACCCCCATGTCACATACTATTATTAAATAAGGCACACATTTACACATACAGTTAAAATTTGGCTAGTAATTATTCCTTTATTTACACCCAATAGCCACAAAGTTAATCCTTATAATAACCGTGGTCTTTTCTTTATTTTTTGTTCATTTCCCATGAAGCCATACAGCACGGCGTGCATCCTCTTTGGGTGCGAAATATTTATGAGAATACCTTCTTTCTTTTTTTTAATTTTACGACTATCCCACTACGGACTTGTAGAGCACCAATCTGAAGAAAAACATTCTCGAGGAATTTGAATGGACTGCGTCTCTTTGAACCTGATGTCTCCTGGGACGGGATAAAGAAAGAGAGAAGGCTAGGATAGCTGCTTTGTTGAAGAATTTTCTCTCTCTCTTGACAACATGAACAAATTTGGTTCACTGTTTTAGCCTTCTGACAACGAGCGTTAACCGATGAAGTGCATGATGCGGTGACCCTGAGGTACTCCTCAGGGTGTTTAGGGGATCATTTGATATGCCCAAAGATGAAAGAGTATAGTAAGGCAAAGACATAACTACTTTCAGGGGAATCTGCTGACTTTTCACCACAGGTTACATATACTGCATATGTATATGTATACATATACGGTGTGAATATAAACACACATATATATACACACACATGCATAATATAAACACATTCGAGGGTGGGGCGGGTGGGGACTGGTTACCAACACTACATCAGAAAAGGTTAAGCAAAAGCATGAATCTAAGCATTGCAGGAGCCTCCGGTTTTAAAGTCTTCAAGATGACTGATGTGTTCAGTTTTTTTTCCAACATCAATGTGCCCAAAAACTAAGTTGCATTGTAAATCCACACTGAGGACATTGGCAGCCTAATATATCAGGAGGTGGCTTCACGTCACCCAAGTCAACAGTTCTATAATAAGCAAGTAGCTGAGCAATACCAATATGGTACAAAGATATCCGTTGGACAAAAAGAAGAGGGAAAAACAAGTTTGGTTGAGGCTTTTGTCCACAGTGACACTGGCTGCCACCCAATTGGTAGTGTTTTCTTGGAAGGGTCTGCATCCTCTAACCCATTGCATGTTGTCTTTAAAGGAAAGTTCCTTCATGAAGACACAATGAGGGAGACTCCCTCTTTAAGTCCAGGAGTGTGCCTCCTCAGTAGTTAAACTTTCCCTGCTGGTTGACTGGGGATGTGGCAGGTATGAACAGGGGCTTGGGAGGGACATCAGGTTTAAGAGAGGAGGCCCGGCGGACGATCGCTCCCCTATGTTGGACCTCTTGCTGGTCTCCGTTGTAACTGTGCTGACGTGCCAGGTATCCGTTGGGAATGAGGGGGTAGTGGACCTCGCAGGCGCTGCCTGTTGAGTTCATTCGAGCCAGAAGGGGCGGCTGTTGGTGTGGCCCACCGTTCCGTTGGCTAAAGCTGTGTTGGCGAGGGATCATTCCTCCTCCTCCTCCTGCGCTACCATTGGGCATCTTGGTGGCGGCAGCAATCAGGGAGTGCCTCTGGGACGAGTGCCTCCTCTCCAGGGTGGACTGGTGATGCTGGGGAATGTCTGGAGGAACGTCCATGCGTCGGGTGAGGCTGTCTCTGGGTAAGGTAGAAGAGCTGTAGTAGGGAGCGGATTCTGTCTCAGGAATCTGAGGTTGGATACGGTTGGAGAATGCTAGATGACCTACGCCACCGCTGGCCATCAGACCGGATGGACTCATTAACTGGGAGTTCTTGCTGCTGCTCGCCTCGTGGATGTGCTTCAGGAGCTCATCCAGCGAGGTTACCTCCATCACCTTCTGAGAGTAACCAGGATACGGTTGCTGAGATAAAACACGCTCTACATTGTGGATTTTGCGTTCGTCCGGGTGGAGATGACCCCCGACTAGTGGCTGCCCATTAGACAGGCCATGGGAGTATGGGAAGATCTGCTGGTGAAGCAGGGCTGAGCTGGGCCTGGATCCTATGTTGTGAGACTTGGGCTCCTTGGCATTGTTACAATTCTGGTTCTTCTCCCACTGGTTTTTGAAAGCTTTCATGCTCTTTATGGGCAGCTCTGGGGTGGAATCTGGTGTAGGCAGACCAGACAGCTCAGATGAATGGTGGAGGTGGTGGTGGTGATGTTGGTAGACCAGGTCGTCCATTGTCATCCCGTGATGGCCATTTCTCCTGGGTTGATGATGCTCCTTGCTGTTTGCAAAGAAAGAGTTGTAGATCTTTGGAGATGAAACCTCCAGCTTGTCGTCCTTGCTCTGGCTGTCCAGGAGGCCATTGAGCTTGGCGAGGCTGCGGAGAGATAGGGCGTGTGGGATCGGAGCCTCGGGATCTTTGGACAGCTTCTTGGTCTTGTGGCCTGTGTGGTTGCAATAGCAGGAGACCAGGAAGCCAGACAGGAAGGCGCCGAGAACGAAGGCCACCAACACACAAGCAATCAGGAGAGTGTAATGGACACTGTGATTGGTCTTCTCCAGATCTGGTGGACGCCTCACACCTTCAAAAAAAAAAGAAAGAGAAAGGACTTTGGTTAGAGCTTTTCTGCCTTAGCCAAAATGGAAAAAAAAAAAAACATTTTCAAGAGCTAATATAGATCAAGTAGCAGCTGGGAGAGGCAGGTTGTGTTTACAGGGGCTTCACTATGTGGGAAACAGCACGAGAGGTTTTTGAAACAAGATTTTGGCTTCCTTTTGTTTTGCTGTTAATAGATCAATACAGCCTTTCTCTGTCAAACCTATGCTTTTCCCCTCAGACTGGCAGAAGCCAAAGAATCCCCAGTCAGTGAGCAATCAGCTCTGAAATGAGTTAGGGCTCTAAATATTGATGGGCCCACAGCAGCAGGAACCTGATGTCATTTTCACAGACTTTGCCTTCCAATGTGAGGATCAGGGGCGAGGAGCACCTGGTGTGATGAACGAGCCAAAAATAACAGGTCTATCCAACAGCTCACAGGCTGTGGCACCTCAGCCAACACAGACTCCAATGAGGTTGTCAGGTTGTTTCAAAAATGAAGCTGAGGTCTGTGCCCCGGTGAGGTGAAAAAAAACCCCACAAGGTTACTCAGCTGAGGTAAATCTAGCATGCAAATGTCCCCGAGAGATGCAACCCTCGCACTGTGTTGCATTAATAGCGTGAAAGGCAAGGCTGATAAGAGGAGTGAGACCTGCCACCTCTTATAATCAGAGCTCATTTGCAAGATGCCGCTGCCATCTGTGGTGTCAGACCCTTCCCTCTGCCCTTAATGACAGTTTTTCTGTGAAACTGATTAGTGCGCGGAGGAGGGGATGGCGAGCTGCGTCATGGAGGGAAAGAAATGCAGGTGTTCCAGGCAAAGTTCAATTCGACAGCTAATGAAAGCGTCATCGAGGAATGGAAATGGAAATGAAGCCTAAATGAGGCTTGATGATGGTTTATAAGGTCAGAATGATGGTGAGGATGAGGATGCTGATGATTGGTGGATGTGTGTAAGGAAGATCAGTAATCAAATCAATAATGAGGCCTGAATAGGATTGAATTTGAACCCCAAGCCGTGACTGAATGGACGCAGTTTGATCGAGAAAGGTTGCTTGGAATTCATCCAAAAAATGTACACCAATTTTCATCGGTTCATTAAGGACAAAAGCACAAATCACCAGCGCAACGGTAACCATGCAACCCAATATATAGACTTGTTTTTGCCTCTTGTGATTTCATTTGACTGAATTTGACCACAAATGATCAAATTATAATCCAACAAACTTGTCATAACATTTTCAAACGAGCAGCTTTAGAACAGGTTGATTATTTATGCCATGAAGTTACTGTGGAACTTTAAGAGTTCTATTTTCACTCTTCATTATCCAGCGGTAGATTATTATCTCATCTTCATCGAACTCAACGCTCATTTTCAAGGGGTGCTTTCTGCCCAATTTTTCCAAACAGCACGATCATCTTTCTGGAAATAACACTTTCAATAGAGCTCCCAATTAAAAAATGCTCCGTTTTCCAGTCGTTTATTCTTCTGATTGCCTTGACTTATGACCACATTAAAAGTCACAAATCATAATTGTGTCCCACTGGGAGAGGCAATCAAAAGTGATGCAGCAGAGAGCCTGTTGATAACGCTTCTTTTTAATCATGTGACATTTTTCATTTGATCTCATTACACAGGCCACTAATCAACCGTACAACAAAGACGAGGTTCTGAATCTGTGGTTTTAAGTGACAATGGATCAGAAAGACTGATACAGCGAGCAATAGAATAAAAGGATACATAACGTTTGAGGACTTTATCCTAACATGACTTAGAAAAGGTAAAAGGCTTAAACTGCTACTTTTTTTAAAGGACACCTAGTGTTTAAAACGGGTACTACAGTCAAAATTATAAACATCATAGAGAGCTGTCTCCCCCCGCCCCCTCCTCTCTAGAGTCGATGCTCACACAGGTCACCATGTGGTGGACACTGAAGCTTCAGTGTTTAGCCAGCTCTGCATCGGTCTGTAAACCTTTCTGCGTTCTAACCTCTCTCCATTTTTCAAAAGCATCTCCAACATTGATCCTAGTTTGAGCACGTTTCTGCTCGTGGAGCTTATTAGAAACATGCAGAGGCTTTTTAGGTCGGGTACAATCACTTCTATCTGAACCAGTTCTCTTGCCCGCTTCCATCGCTGCAACACCTGTTGGTTTGACCTGATAACTGCTCTCATATCTGGCAAACCGAGGGGCGTCCAAAACAGCCATGTGGGGGGTGCCTAAAAAACCGCCTACCTTCTCTGGTCCAAACAAATCCAGAGCATTCAGGACCAGAATCTAAAGTTAGAAGGAGGACATACTGGCTATAACTTAGTTTATGTTCAAACTTTAGAGAAGAGATTGCCTCAAAGAAATATTGTTTGTGATGCTTTGGGACATAAGGCATAAGCTGTTATGTTGTAATAACCTTTATGTTACATGTAAAGCAGGTAGAAAGGCACTCGTGACCCATGTGGGAGGAGTAAAAAGAGACTGCCTACTAGTATACTGACAGATATTTAGATAATTAAAAAAAATGCTGAAATGGTCAGCAAACAGGCTTCAGCAGGCCGCTCAGGTGTCGTCATTGTGTTGGGAAAACGTGAAGAGACTAATCCATTGTCTGCCACCTCGTCTATACGCCTCTATGTAAGAGGCATAAGGACTTCAAACGAGAGGCAGACAGCATCCTGTGGTGTTAAGAAGAGGAAGTCTCAATCCTTTTTTTTGTCTCGACGATATGAATCATCACTTATGTGTCCTGATTTTAAACTGTCTGTCTGAGGTGCTGTAACATCCCCCCTCGTCTACTAATTCTTGTTGAAGCCACCGCTTGCTCAGCTGTGATGCTGTGTTACATTTTCTGCAGACAAAGGGAGTGAGCACAAAAATCATGATTGCACCATCACTTAAAAAAACCCTTAGCTTAGCTTTCTTGCATGTCAGAACATTACTGATTATATGACATTATATCCTGGTACAACTTTCTCACCGAAAAATGCAAGAAAAAACTTACTGGTATCATTAAACATGCAACAAAAATCACCGGCACCACCCAGATCCAACTGTCAGAACATGCGAGCAGCCTGCATCACTCAGGACCCTTCACACCCCCTTCACCACTTGTTTCAGCTGCTCCCCTCAGGCAGTCGTTTTAGAGTACCACTGGCGAAAAAGAAAACTTACAGAAACTCTTTTATTCCCACTGCAATACGCATTTTAAACAAGGCAAGATAAGCAATGTATTTTAAATGCTGTGGATATGTGTTTTTACCTATTTAGGGTACGTTTAGCTATTTATGACCTAATGTGAGTGTTAGCGTGAATGTTTGTATGTTTTCATGTTACTGAGCCTCAACAAAAGGTCATTTTCTGTCACAATGTGATAGACAATAAAGTGTTTTTTTGAATCTTGAATCTTGAATCTGCGGCTCTGCGATGGCGATGGCATGCAGCTTTTAGCACCAAGTGTTCAAAAGGCTGCTCTGACATCATGCCGCCTACTGCCTTCTGTCACCTTCTGCGGCCTCCTGCTACCTGTGAGTCATCCGCACCCTCTGGACTGTGCCGCCTCCCTCCCTGTCTGTGGCTGCAGGCCTACAGAGGGGGTCCCTCCTGGGTCAGGGGGTGTGAGTCAAGTGCCTCGACATGGGGGGGGTGAATCGCACAGCTGAGGTAAACAAATTCAGAGCCGTGCGGACGACCTGTCACAACATGTTTCACCGACAGTCGGGATGACTCAATCACTGGATATGTGGGACATATGGAGCCACCGGTCACAGAGAAAAGAATACCCTGTGAATCACACAGTGACAGCCTGGCAAGCAGCTAGGTGGCGCACAGGAGGTGCTGGCCCGACTGTGCAGGCTAACTTGGCTTTCTGTCTATGCTGCTTCAGTCAGGGTTTGAAGCTATATAAATACTTTTGGATAATAAAGCCTGTTAATGGGGGGGGCTGTCACTTCAAGGCGGTAATCAATGCCAGGCTTTAATGTTTACATAGCAGCAGAGTCGGTGTTCCTATATTTCGCTGTCACTTTATATTTCTGTGTCAACTGAACATGGTGAAGTCTGAATATAGAGACACCAAAGTCTGCCAAAAGTAAAAAAAGACAGATGGGCCGCGGGAGTGAAAGCAAAGGGAGGCGAGGGGAAAGAAGACAGGGATGGTGACAGCCAGGGGACAAAAAAAATGAAGAGAAAGATGAAGGGCTGGAATTCAACCCTTGGTGACAAACTGTTGATGAAGAGGGCAGCGCATGTTTGAGAGAGGACTCTAGGACACCAAGAGACAGGGGGAGCGAGAGCAAAGGAAAAAGAGACGAGATAAAAGCCAGAGGAAGATTTAAAAAACAAACAAAAAAAAGACGATGTGAATGAGTGTGCATGAAGCAGATTTGAAAGAGGAGGAGGAGGAGGAGGATGAGGAGCGAGGTGACAGACAGACAGACAGACAGACAGACGTGACGGGCAGAGTGACAGACCGTCACTCTGCGAGGCGTTTGAAGCCTGGTGCTCTGCGGCAGCTGTGATACAGTCGGAGTACAACCACTCACTGCACAGTGCTGTCGGAAGAGACGCTATCTACGCCGGCATCCACATTGTTAAAAATAGAAGGCGCGGTAGATTATGTAAACAGGAGCGTTTAACGCAGCGTTGTCTCTCATTAAGTGGAGAGGTAAAATTAAATTCTGACATCTGGCTGCTGTGAGGTGGATTTGGGGATTTTGGGAAATCTTTATTGTCCCCGAGAGGCAGGTGGTGGGGAGGTTTTTCTTTCTGCAGGTGATGAAGTTGAGTCCGAAAAACAAATGAAAATGGAAGTGACGATTTCAGTAAAGAATGTGAGTGATTAGAAAAATGGATGCTGTCTTTGTAAGCTCCTGCAGACTTCTTAAATCAGTAACGACGAAACACCCACAAGCTTTTCCATGGCACCAAATACTGCTAATCTGAACGCTCTGAAGTTTCACACTTTAGATTAGAGGACATTAGATTAGATTTTGCAGGACATTAAAGCATCACAACTCATGGACTAAACATGGATCTCAAAT